GAAGGCCCCAGTGCCCGCGCCCGCATGCGTCACCCACACCCATTTCGGCACACCCCTCACACGTTTCGTGGCCCCATAGGGAGCTCCACCGAAGGCCCCAGTGCCGCGCCCGCAGCGTCAGCACACCCCTGTGCACGCGTTCCGTGGCCCATTAGGGAGCTCCAGAAGGCCCCAGTGCCCGCGCCGCTGCGTCAGCCACACCCATTTCGGCACGCCCCTCACGCGTTCCGTGGCCCCATAGGGAGCTCCGCCGAAGGTCCCAGTGGGTGTGCCCGCATGCGTCCCGCACACCCATTTCGGGACACCCCTCGTACGTTTCGTGGCCCCGTAGGGGGCTCCACCGAGAAGATAGTCACAATTGCAGTATTCACAATTGCATATGGTTGGGTCCTTCGCCAGGATAATTTGAAGTCGGGCATGTCCCTCACGGGATGAAAAATCAAACATAGACAAAAATAGTCAGGGGACGATTCTTCGTTATGTTTCCCCATATCCTAAGATGGGGTTCTTGTTATTACTCTGACCACGCCGGACCCTTCTCACCCCTCCCTTCCCTCTTCCCTCTCTTCATGAGACGATGATGCATGAAGAGGATGATACTTGAAAAAGATGATGATGATGAGAATGGATGATGGTGGTGACGCCGATGACGATGATGATAACGATGATGATCAGGATGGTGATCCGATTACATGATGATGACGAATGAAGCTCGGTTGGTGATGATGATGATGAAGATGATGATGATGATGATGATGATGATGATGATGATGATGACGATGATGATGATGATGATGATGATGGTGATGATGATGATGATGATGATGATGATGATGATGATGATGATGATGATGATGATGATGATGATGATGATGATGATGATGATGATGATGATGATGATGAGCGGCTTGCTGGTTTTAGCACTCCTAAGGGGGGGCGCCAGGGGTATTGCACGGCCTCCGTTCGCGCCCAGATTGCGGGGATGTCTCAAGCGGTTTGCGTGTTTCCTGACTCAACATCCTTCGTTTGCGGAGCAGATTTGAAATCTGCTCCGCAAAGTGGGGGCGCACGCCTCAGAGTGCCAGGCAGGCCTGTGGATGCGTGGGGTATCCCACGCTTGTCACGATTTCGCAGCAGGTTCGGGGACGCAGGTCGAAGGCGAGTCGGGCTTCCCGGAGGTTGCGGGTAATCCAGCCGGCGCAAGGCGCAGCCATGCCCTTTGCCGCGTGTGGACCGTTTCCATCGCCAGTGGTGCGTCCTCACGCGAGTGGGGCCATTCGTAAGATATGCCGCCCGCGGCGGCGACGCACAATACCGGAGTGGCGCGCCCGCGCGTGTCTGCGTTTTCATGGCGCGCGCACTCAGACAGACGAGATTTTTCATTTTCCGTGAAACAAGAAATATGCTCGCAGTGCTTGCTGAGACCTGGCAGTCTGAGATTTCGAGGATGTCTCGTGCGAGGCGCCTTCTACGGGGGGGCCGCCAGGGGTATTGCACGGCCTCCGTTCGCGCCCGGATTGGGGGATGTCTCAGGCGGTTTGTGTGTTTCCTGACTCAACATCATTTTCGTTTTCGGAGCAGATTTCGAGGATGTCTCGTGCGAGGCTCTGGTTTTCGCACTCCAAGGGGGCCAGATTGCGAGGATGTCTCAAGCGGTTTGCTTGTTTTGGTGGCCAGATTCGTGTGCGCTCAGAGCAAAGTCTGAAGACAATTTCTGAGGATGTCTCGAGCGAGGCTGTGGTTTTCGTATTCCTAGGGGGGGGGGCGCCAGGGGTCTTCCAGGCCTCCGTTCGAGCCCAGATTGCGGGGATGTCTCATGCGGTTTGCCTGTTTCGGTGGCTGACATCTTTCACTTTTGGAGCAGACTTCGAGGATGTCTCAGGTGGTTTGTCTGTTTTGGTGGCCAGACCAGTCTGCGTCTTGAGCGGCTTGCTGGATTTAGCTCCCCAAGGGAGCCCCCAGCGGCGTAGCCTCGAATCGGTACCAGCACGGCCTCCGCGCGCGCATACATTGCGGCCATGACTCGAGCGGCATGCTGGATTTAGCTCCCCACGGAGGCCCCCAGCGGCATAGCCTCGAATCGATATCAGTCGCACGGCTTCCGTGCGCGCCCATGGTTGTCGGTGGGGGGCAGATTCTGTAGATATGCCGTCCTTCCTTCTGTTCCTCTTCTTCCTCCTCCGTCCCCTTCTTCCTCTTCCTCTTTCTTCTCATTATCCTCTTCCTCCTCCCTCTGTTTCTCGTCCTCCTATTCCTCGTCTCCTCCTCCTTCGATTGCGAGGATGTCTCGAACGGTTGCCTGTCTCGGATGAAGCGTTGGTTCCAGCACCTTTAGAAGCATATCATTCTCACTCGGGCGTCAGGGGGTATCTCACGGGCCCGTTCGCGCCCAGATTGGGGGGATGTCTCAGGCGGTGTGCCTGTTTGGGTGCTGCACATCCTTCTCTCTCGAATCAGTTCCCGAGGGTGTCTCAGGCGAGGCGCTGGTTTCAG